AGCAAAAAGAAAAAAGCCGGAAGTGGCGCTGTGGCTCAAGTGGTAGAGCGCTAGCCTTGAGCTGAAGAGCTGAGGGACAGCGCCCAGACCCAGAGTTCAGGCCCAGGACCGGACCCCCCCCCAAAAAAAAAAGATACATCATCAAATTTTGAAGGCAGATGGATTGATTAAAAACAAGACTTGCGGGGCTGGGAAGGTGGCTCAGTGGTAGAGTGCTTGCCTCACATGCATGAGGCCCTGGGTTCCATTCCTCAGCACCACATAAGCAGAAGAAAAAAAAAGCCAGAAATGGCGCTGTGGCTCAAGTGGTAGAGCGCTAGCCTTGAGCTCAAGAGCTGAGGGACAGCGCCCAGACCCAGAGTTCAGGCCCCACGACCAACAGGGAAAAAGAAAAAGAAAAAAAAAAAAAGAAAGAATTCAGAACCTGAAAATCTACGTTAAACAGAACTCAGGATGAGGCACAGAAAGGTAAGTGGTTAGGAAATGTGTTTAAACCTCGAGGGGGCGACGGCAGTCCTTACCTTGAAGGAGCGAGGTTCGGGGGACAGCACCTCTAAGGAAGCATTGGAAAGCCTGCTCCCAAAATGGGTTCTCGAGTTGGAGGCCGGCCTGGAAATTCCATCTAAGTTTCCCTTGATGATATCCATGGCTCCCCTAGCACCGAATGAAGAAGGGCTTTCAGAGCACGGGGTCTGGATAGCCAAACGCCTGGCCCGTTCTCCTTCCCTCCTCCCTCTTTCTCTTTAACCCCGCTTCACCAGTCCGTTCTCCTACTTGGTGGGAAGCACCAAGTCCGCCTCTCAAAGCTCCCGCCCGGCCTGGTCCCGCCCCCTCTGGCCCCGCCCCCGGGACCGAGCCGGCCCCGTTCATTGGCCCTGCCCACCTTCCCTGACAGCTCCCACAAAGACTGACGCGCTGGGCCCCGCCCCCCGCGGGCGAGCGGCGCGGCCCTCCAGCTCCGCGGACCCCGGGACCGGTCACTCACCCGCCCGGCGCGGACTCCGGGAACCAGACGTCAGCGCACTGGCCCGATAGCAGCGTGTCGCAGACACTCGCGGCGTCATCCGCTTCCCCTCGAAGAAGAGCGGTCTTGCCCGCCACCGCAGCCTTTCCGCCAGGGAGAGACGCCGCCGCTCCACAGCCCTGCCGCCGCCGCCGCCGCCGCCGCCACGGCGCCGTTGCCCTGGCAACCACAAGCACGCTCGCTCCGAGTCTCGCGAGAGCAGAATAGGCGCCTACCATTGGCGATAGGGGAAACGGGCTGCACCATCCAGCGTGGGCCGGGGGGGGGGTCTGAACCCAGAGCCCTGTGCATTCGAGGCGGGTGCTACACCGTGATCCTCCCAACTTCAGCCTCTCAAGTAGCAAAGATCCCAGGGCCTGAGCCACCGCCGCCTTGCTCGCTTCGCTCCGTAACCGTCCCAGACTAAGTCCTCATTATTGACATTTTACGTAAAGTGCATCTCGTCCTGTATTGTTTTCTGTTCGAGTTCTTCTATTTATTTCCCTCCTGCTGATGCTAAAAGCAAACCGCAGAGAGGCTGTGCAAGTTGGGTTTGGGTTTTTGTTTGTGGGTGTATGTTTGTGCTGGCCAGTCATGGGTCTTGAACTCGCGGCTTGTGTGCTGAGCTCTTTTGCTCAAGGCTAGTGAGAGCAAACGTGTAATAAATGGTAGTCATTCCGTATTTGTTGTTAATGTTTGGAAATACGTACAACAGTTGGTGTGGAGCTAGAAAGCTAAAGGCTAGAAAATCCTATTGTCCAATGGTGTTTTCTGTTGTTTCTGTCACCTTTCGAAGTCATTCATAAAGTTTTCTTCCAGCATCAAGATCTTTTTTTTGGGGGGGGGGTCCGGTCGTGGGGCCTGAACTCTGGGCCTGGGCGCTGTCCCTCAGCTCTTCAGCTCAAGGCTAGCGCTCTACCACTTGAGCCACAGCGCCACTTCCGGCTTTTTGCTTATGTGGTGCTGAGGAATCGAACCCAGGGCCTCATGCATGCAAGGCAAGTGCTCTACCACTGAGCCACCTTCCCAGCCCCAGCATCAAGATCTTTGATGCTACAATCTCCCTAGTTGGATTCCAGGTTGGTGCCATATGGCAGCATTGGTTGTTGGGCGAGCTGTTGTTTTTGTTTGCCATCTCTGCTGACACCCTCCTCCTAAGCGGAGTGAGCTCTGAGAAGCTGAGAAGGAGCCCACATTGAGTGCCAGCTGAACAGCCTGTGACCCTCAATTTACTCTTGCAGTACAAGCTAGTTCCCCAGTGCCTTTGGAAAACTTCTTGGTGCTAGGATTCCTGAATATAAGTGTGAATGGCCACAGCGTCAACTCAAGGGAAATGGAGTGAAAGGATGCATCTAAAGCATGTGCTAAGTACCTGAGAAATGTCACTTTGAATAAAGCTATGTGACAACTAAGAATTCAAGAGATGTTATCTGTATCCACTAGATGGCGCCAGTTGACTTCTCTTGCAGGGAAAACAAAAAACTGCAGCCTCTCAAAAACTCTCTCCTTGGATTTTCCTTGTAATTTGAGAAACCTCTTCGAGGTTTGAACTGTGGTTCACACATCTTAAATCAGCCATCAAAAAGAAAGTGTTGGGCTGGGAAGGTGGCTCAGTGGTAGAGCGCTTGCCTTGCATGCATGAGGTCCTGGGTTTGATTCCTCAGCACCATGTAAGCAAAAAGAAAAAAAGCCAGAAGTGGCGCTGTGGCTCAAGTGGTAGAGTGCTAGCCTTGAGCTGAAGAGCTGAGGGACAGCGCCCAGGCCCAGAATCCAGGCCCCACGACTGGACCCAAAAATAAATTTTTGGTGATGCTGCTAACATTTGAACACAGGGCCTCACACTTGCTAAGCAGGAACCCTACGACGTGAGCTGTGCCCTAGTCCTTTCTGTTTTAGTAATTTTTCAGGTAGGATGTTACACTTTTTGTCTAGGACTGGCCTCAGAGGGGGACAAGATCCTTCTACTTCTGCCTCCTACCTAGCTGAGATTACAGGCATGTGCACCATAGCCAGTTCAGAAGTGTACCTTAAAAAATATCTGAGTAGGGCTGGGAAGTTGGCTCAGTGGTAGAGTGCTTGCCTTGCATGCCTGAGGCCCTGGGTTCGATTCCTCAGCACCCACATAAGCAAAAAGAAAAAAGCCGGAAGTGGCGCTGTGGCTCAAGTGGTAGAGCGCTAGCCTTGAGCTGAAGAGCTGAGGGATAGCACCCAGGCCCAGAGTTCAGGCCCCACAATCGGACCAAAAAAAAATCTGAGTAGATATTATAAATAATATCAAAGAACCACTTGTCAGGTTTGGGGAAACCAAGTTCCCACACATATTTACACAAAATCAGAAGGTGTAAAAAGATCACTATATTTTATTCCATTTCCCCTTTATACAAACTGATCTATGTGCTTCCATTGCGATCTGAGCGTCTGCAGTTATAAGGCATAAGGGTCAGGGAGGGGCGTTACTTAGCCCTCTTCCCTCCTCGCTGACTCAGGGGGTCCAGACCCAGATTGGCATTGTAATGGTACCTCGGCGATCCTGGTGCTGTTGATGGGAGAAGCTTACCCGGAACCCACGACATTATGATTCTACCCAGCAACATTCACAGAAGAGTAGGGAGGGAAAGTCTCCCTTTACATTATTTACCACCAAGGAAAGGAAGTTAAATCAACTCACACAGCAAATTAGAACGTTAGGAGTATCAAGCAGCCACAGGCAGAAACGATTTTCCTCAGAGATGATGAAACTCCAAGCCAATGAGTACAGACGTTTGTGAGCTCTGGGGTAGTCTGTGCCACTGGAGAGTGTCACCACCTTCTCTTTGATGAAATTCAAAATAATGCTTCTACACACAGTGTATTTGTTGGTCTGGGATTCCATTTTAATGACTTTTGACTTCCATTTGAATATCTTTTTTTCTTTTTTCTTTGCCGGTCATGGGGCCTGAACTCTGGGTCTGGGCACTGTCCCTCAGCTCTTCAGCTCAAGGCTAGCGCTCTAACACTTGAGCCATAGCACCACTTCCGGCTTTTTCTGTTTATGTGGTACTGAGGAATCGAACCCAGGGCCTCAAGCATGCAAGGCATGCACTCTACCGCTGAGCCACCTTCCCAGCCCCCTGTTTGAATATCTTACTGTTAGGTTTTTAAAAAGAGGTTGCCGAGTAAGAACTGCACCAGCATGCACGTGGTATTCAGGTAAGGGGTAGGTTTATTCAGTAGACCTGCTGGGACCAGGCATGGTTGGCACTCCACGTGGCTGGGAAAGGCCTGGGAATGAGAGAGCTGGGAAAGAGAGGAAAGAGAGAGGAAAGAGCTAGAAAAGAGCAGATAGAAGGGTAAGAACAGTAGCACTCACGTGGTATTCAGGGTAAGGGGTAGGTTTATTCAGTAGACCTTCTGGGACCAGGCAAGGTTGGCACTCCACGTGGCTGGGAAAGAGAGGAAAGAGCTAGAGCAGAGAGAGAGCAGAGAGAGCTAGAAAAGAAGAGCAAGAGCAAGAGCAAGAACAAGAGCAAGAACAAGAACAAGAGCAAGAGCAAGAGCAAGAGAGCGTCTGGGCCTGGGCTAGGCCTTCTGTAAGGTATGGGCGGGGGGAAAGGTGTGGCCACATCAAATTCAGATGTGACCTCAGCGGATGCAGATGTGACCTCTTCCAGGTGTCCCAGTTGCCTAGGTAACGCAGGTACTGGGTGGAGACTTTGCTGGGAGGAGGGTAGAGTCTGCTTGCCATCCAGGGGCGGACCTTACACTTACCAAATCATCAACATCCTTATTTAATGAGATTGTATTATTTCCCCTTCATTTTCTCATAATGAACTGGAATTAATATTCTAGTATCATTGAAAATTCATGTCTTCTGATACCCTAGGGTACCCGACTGTGAAGTGTGCATTGTTGTCTCTGTTGTCTGTTTACCAGGGCTTGCCCACCCTGGGACCAGCCTTGACCCCCCCAGTCTTGAGTCCTTCCCCTAGCACAGTGAGGAGTGGATACGTTTTCTACTTGCAGCTCTGTAAGTCTCTTCCATACCCTCTGCTCTCTGGAAATAGCCTGCTCCTGGGACTCAGCCCGGAAACGACATTCATACCAGGGCAAAAGTCATCTGCTCGACGTGCAGAGTGACACGAACGGCCTGCTTAGAACATCTGCACAGTGGTGACAGCCATGAATCTTGTCCCTGCAATCTTCTGAAAAAAGAGCCAAGCAAAGCAAAGCCGCAAGGGACATCTACTATGTGAATAGCACAACACGAGGAATGCATAGACAACTTGCTTGTGTCTTAGGAGATTTACATCTGAATTCCTTATTTATTTACTCATTTATTGATTTAGTTGGTCATTGGGGCTTGAACTCAGGGTCTGGGCTCTATCTCTGAGCTCTTTTGCTCAAGGCAAGTGCTCTACCAGTTTGAGCCACAGCCCCACTTGTGGTTTTCTGGTGGTTAATTGGATCCTCACATCTCAGCCCCCAGAGTAACTAGGATTATGGACATGAGCCACCGGCACAGCACTGGCAATGACTCTTAATTAAGCAGAGTGAAGTCAGCTTAGAATTGGAAAGGAGGACCCTAGATTAAGATGCTCCCAGAAGGGAGGGATCCTGGCAGAGCCAACTCTTTCCCTAAGAGGTTTATTCTAAGGCAAATGCCTCTCTCACAAACAGAGGAAGTCAGGAGGCAGGAGAAGGTTTGGAAAACAACCTTGTAATGAAGAGCTGTCAGGCATTAAGGATTTTAATGTAGTCCCTCCCACAGTTTAATAATACCTGCCAAGCAGGGGTTCCAAAAGATAGTTCTGATAACAAAAGATGATAATAAACATTAGTGCTGTGGAAGGCACTAAGAAGCAGAGAGCCTTAATGCCCCGGAAATGCTTTTTGCTACCTCTGCTTTGCTTCTAGTCTCTGGGCCAGCTGGTGACACAGCCATCTGTGCCTCTCCATCTGCAAGGCAGAGCGGGGACCGTTTCCTACAGAAACTTTAATGTCCTATATCAATACACAGCAGGCCGTAAAGTTACTATCAAGGAGGCATAGTTTTATAA